CTAGACCCTAAACCCTAAACCCCACCCCCCCCCGGGCGAGTCATGGAGGCGCCCAAGAATCAGGCCGATGAGGGGGCTGGAGCTCACCCTCAGGAGCCTGAAAGCAACTTTGCTTGCAGCTGAGAGGCGTAGGGTTTTAGGGCTTATGGTGTGTGTATAATATATATATATGTATATATATATATATAAATATAAATATTATAAATATAAAAAAGAGTGTTTTTTCCCAAGCTCCTGCTTCAAAAAGGGCTTAGGGTTTAGGGTTTAGGGAGCTTGGGGGGCCTTGGGCTGTCTGCAGGCCAGTGTAGTAAGACCAGGGTTTAGACAACTCGGTGGTCAGGTCCTGTACTTCGCGGGTTTAGGCTTTGGAGTCTAGGGCCAAGGGCTTAGGTTAAACAACAAGGGTTTGGGGTTTAGGGCCTAGGCAGGGTTCAGGGTTCAGGGTTCAGGGTTTAGGGTTTAGGGTTTAGGGGGTCTAGGCCTAGGCAGGGTTGAGGGTTTAGGGACATCAGAACTGGCTCTCTGGAAACGATGGTGATTTCAGAGTGAAATATGGTCCTTTTGTAGTCCTCACTCTAAGGCGGCCACCCCCTATTACTTAGGATTCCCCAAAAATACAGGGCCATAATATAGAGAACTGACCACATCTTCCTCTTCCTCTCTCTCTCTCTCTCTCTTTCTCTTTGCTACGCCTGTGCCGTACTAGTTCATGATGGTGTGCTGGCACTAGCGAGCCGGAGCCAGGCATAAGGTCTGGGTGGTTCCTGCAGGCTCTCGAAACCAAGTCGTACCCTGGAGCCAAATGAATCACGCTAACGCCTAAACCCTAAACCCATACTAAATATTCCGATTAAGGTATATAGGAACCATAAAGCTTCTTCGGGTCCATTTGCTCCCCAAGGCCATGACACACCTGGATCACACTTCTGGGCAAACAACCTTATAGGCTTCTTAAGGGCTTAGGGGGTAGTATTAGGGAACCTTGGGTGACATACCGCCCTTGAACCCCCTTCCCAACTTGAGAACTCCCATCGTGGCGTCCGAGGATCAGTTCCGTCGGACCTTGTCTGAAGCGCTAGACCAATGAGTCTACATCGGAGGTCTGACGAGGTTCTTGTGTCATCGGACCCATGGAAACCCCCAAACCGACAGGTAACTAGGTTGGCCCCATTTGGGGGTCCCTCATTTTCCCTAAACCCTAAACCCTAAACCCTAAACCCCCATACTGTCCTCCGGAAGCCCGAGCTCGAGCCGCAACCTCGTTGGGACTCTGCAGGCCTTGTAGAGCACGCCCTCCACATCCGACAAGAAGCTGCCCCAACCCTAAACCCTAAACCCTTTTTGGCTGCAGGGTTCCGGGTTTCGGTGCGGGGGTCGTGGATGAGGTGGTGGGCTTCGGGAGCTGGAGGCGTTGATGGAGCTCTGATTTTTCGGCCCTGGGTGAAGGCTTTAGGGTTTCTCATGTCAGTCTAGGGGTTTCCGAAAGTTGGGAGGTCAGGGGTTGCCCTAACTTTTGGAAATTTCCATGTGAGTCAGAAGGAGCCGAGCTGGGGATAGCACGGCAACGACTGGGAACCCGAAGCCCTAAGCCCTAACCCCTGACACGTTGCTATTTGCCCGTGTGGTTTTCTTGAAATTTCCGGTCTGGAGAGAGTGTTCTTCTGTTGAGCGGCGGGGAGGGGGGGGGGGGGAGGGGGGGGGGATTGGTTACGACCATTTGACTCTAACCATCCCCAAACCCTGCTATTTACGGCGTTTTTGCCTCTTTGTGCAACATGTTGCTGGAGGATGTTTGATGTTCAGCAAAACGGGCGCTGTCACACGTGTTCATGCCGTTTTGCGAACATGCCCAAAACCCTGCTATTTGCGGCGCTTTTGCCTCTTTGTACAACATGTTGCTGGAGGATGTTTGATGTTCAGCCACACAAGGCACTGTCATAAGCGTTCATGCCATTTTGCGAACATGACCAAAACCCTGCTATTTGCGGCATTTTTGCCTCTTTTATACAATGTGCGTCTCATCGAACACAACTACAGCTGGGTCTGGCGCTGGCAATTGGTCCCCAAGCGAACATCCTGGATCGCTTGGGGAAGGTGTGCTAAAATGAGTGCCCTAAGTTTGAGTTCCTGGATTTCCTAAAGCACGAATCCCTCAATTTCCACAGCCACACGCACGAAGTCCTGTAATTTACAGCGCTTTCCGTGTATGCCCTAAAACGTACAGGCCCGCCACCACACGGTCAGATATCAACGTGTGACCCCCTAACCCCCCTGGTTGTGATGCATTTGGGTTTAGGGTTTAGGGTGTAGGGTTTAAAGTTTAGGGTAAACCCGTTAATGGAACCCCCTGGTTGTGATGCCTTTGGGTCGGAGGATGACGGTTAGGCCAAAGACGTCCAAAGCGCACGCGGGACCCGGGCGCCTCGTTCCCAAAGCCACTAAGCTTCGGGATGTTTTTGGGTTTAGGGTTTAGGGTTTAGGGTTTACGGTTTAGGGTTTAAGGTTTAGGGTTTAGGGTTTAGGGTAACTCTAGGCGAAGGTGCAGTCTCTTGCAAAGGGGCTTCGGTTTTGATTCTTGCATTTTGCAGGGTTTTGTTGCTGAACTTGGGAGGGCCAAGCGCACGACGTCCCGAGGCGCCCGAGACGAATGCTTTCCCGCGCTCGCTCTTTCGTAACAGGCCCCTAAACCCTAAACCCTAAACCCTAAACCAGTGGTACCCTTGACCCTTTTTTTGGTTTCTGGGTTCCCTTATAACGTAACCAACCCAAAAAAAGGGTGCCCTTATTATAAAATGGTTACTGGGTTACTAAGGTTGTCGTTGCTTCGTTCCAAGAAGGCCTTCAACAGAAACGGCTAAGGATATCATTAGCACGCATTCCGTTTTCAACTGAAACAGTTTCTTAAAAGTTGATATATATATATATGTATATATATATACCATATATATATAATTATGTATTCATGGAATATTTGGAATATTAATAGTCGGAAGGAATAATGATCATAACACAGAGTCATGAACGTATAAAAATAAAAAATAGAAAGAATAAACATAGTGGTAAGAATAAAGAATAATATTTCTAGTAATTCTAGCAATAATACTAGTAAGTGTCAACAATAAACCTAGAGCATCCTTCGATACACTAATTCGCGCTCGCAAAAAAAGCGCCCGAACAAAAAAAACCCGAACGCTCAAAAAAAAACAAAAAGCACACACATCACACCAAAAGCGCACGATTGCTGGCGCTGTTTTCTTCCTGGCTCGGCTCTGTTGCTCGGCAGCATTAGAGCAGCTTCAGTGCTCGCTTGATCTGCCGCTTGTAATGCATCAAGCATCTAGATATGGTTCTTCCAGCGCAAGTCAGACTGTGAGTCTTGCGAGTAACCCGACTGACCCGTCCACTAAAATCTTCATCTGTCCAACAGGCGAAACCTAAGTGATGTCAAATACTGATCTGCAACGAGAGCATATTTCTGGTTGTAGAATGTACTACTGCAAAATATCTGTCCCAAATCATGCTTCGTGCTTCCCAGAAGGCAGAGTACCGAAAGTACCCATTCGGCACCGCTGATCAGCTGGTGCGACATCCACAACCTAGGTAAACCCGCAGTGTTTTTGTGGCCTTGGGAAATGTTTTACCATCCATATAAATCGTTTAATATGCAGCAGGCGACACAAGATGCAGTTGCATATGCAACTTGGGCTTTACACGGTACAGGCACAGCTGTCGATTTGCTGTCATCACGGCAAGGTTCTGATAGCCTTCCTTAGCTTTCGGTTTGTCTAGCTGGAACACACCATCCACTTAAGGACAAATGTGACCTCCAGGGCATTTGTTGTCAAAGGGATTGCGTAGCATCACCCAAGGTCCAACATTTTGAGGCCCGACTCCACAGCTGTTCTCGCAGCATTCGCAGGCAACCACATGCCATAGGCATACAACGTGCGCCAATGCACGTTGACAGCAGCACACGTCCATTTCATCAAGTCAAGAAGCTCGTGATAATCCTCCTTGGCACAGCTGTGCGCAGGTACACAGACAATGCCCGCCCAAACCCCTAGAACACCTCAACCCTGAACCCCAGCCTAAACCCCAAATACCCTGAAACCCCAAGCACCTCAACCCTAAACCCTATAAGACCTAAACCCGAAAATGATTTGCCCTAGACCCTGTCTACTGGGTTTCCCTGTGTACTGGGTTTTCTAGGAGCCCGTTAAACACCCCAGCTATACCAAGGATTTCGCAGTTGATCGAGACTTCAAGCAAGATGCTTGGACAGCAGCTGGGTCTAGTTTCGAAAGCTCGTCGTTCAGCCAAGCACACAGAACTGGTGTATCATAGCCCTTGCCAAGCCCACAAGGATACATCTTCAGCCTTGCTACCATATAACGTTGATTGGAAGCTACGTTAACATAAACCATAAAACTATAAAACCATGAACGAGACAAGTTCCCACAGAACAGCTTTCTAGTCCTCAAGCCTAGGGGCGATGTTATCTTCATGACTCTGAGGCTGAAACTGGTCAAAGAGGTAGTCTTGTGATGCTCTTTGCACCACAGTCTGAAAGACTCGAATGCCCGATCTAGCTTTTTCTGGATGGATCCTCGTTGCCCATAGACCTGCATGTGCTCTACCAGAAGGATAAGAGAGCTTGCTAGGAAATCTTTGGCCCACCCAGCGATTGCGTAGGTGTGCGCAGGGTCTGGAAGGACCCATTGTGCATTGTCCGAAGCCGACGGCAAGTTCCGTAAGGGTGACCATGTACGCTTAAAGGGACTAGGGCACGGAGCATTCCTAGGCAAGGACCTTGTTGTAGAACTCGGGCCAACGTTGTACCACTCCTAAGTCTGCATTATCATAAAAACCTGCAAAGTTGATGGAGCAAGAAAGCCCTAGGGTTTGGGGTGTGTAAGCTTTAACTTTGCGATGCGTTTTTACACAGGCTATATCACAACACAGGGGGCTCTGGGGGTCAACCCTTACAAAACCTGCCAAACTCATCCAAATCTAGTAGCTTCCGACGAGCAAAGGTGACAGACCCTTTTGCTGGTGAACCCCGTGGCCAAGTGTGCCGCGGCTCGAATATATGGCCAGTCTCCCTTCAACATAACGGGCACAAAGCGAAATTTCAGGGTTTGCTGTTTCCACTCGACCTGGCACACGAGTTCAGATTGGCTAGGAGTATGCATTTATAATTGAGGAGCTGAAGGGATAACCAGGAAACAGAATTCTGATTGCGTGGGCCACAGTGATACCGTCCGAGTATAAGCTCTGCAAATCTCGCACCATCGCGGCGTGCAACGTGTCAATGGTTTGCTGCTTGTAGTACATCTCCGAAGGGACCACTGTAAAAAGCAAGCGAGTTGTAAACGAATGCCTTGCCCGGTTTGACATGGGTGGGGTCGAAGTTGCTTGGGTTGGGGATCCTTAAGAATTTAATGGTTCATTGATCTGAGGACAAAAAGTATAATCTAAGAACCCAGGCACCCACTGGAGTTGACAAACCGGGGTCCCTTGAAGGATATCAGAGGCTGGTAGGAGAGCACCATAACCGGGCGTTTCAATTTGCCTCTTCCTTCGTCGCCATGTATGGCCACAGGAATACAGAAACCTAAGTCAAAACCAGCCTCTGCGTCAGCCCGATCATATACATCGTGCTCCGGGCGCACGTGGCGAAAGCGCTGCCAAAAGACCCTCAGCATCCTGCAGTACGCATCTGGATCCTCCAAACTGTGTCCCCCCAGAAGCATTTGGCCTCCTGTAGAGAAAAGTTGCTTTGCCCATGCTGAAAGATAGAGTATTGGGTATCTGATCGTAGCCACACGAGGCCGGCCACTGAGCAAGACAACTTTCGTCGGTTCTGAGCTGATATCGACGGGGAGTGTTTTACCAGTCTTATGTATCAGCTTGTGCAGGTTGCGGCACTCATTGCCCTTGTTGGCAGCACACTGGGCCATCATTCTCAGCATGGGATCGACAATCCCTCGGCTGCTTCAGCAGCTATTACTAGCGATCAGCTAGCTAGCTCAAGCAGTACACGGTAGCCTTCTGCCCTGACCCTAAGCCCTAATTGAAACCGAAGCCGTGTGCATCCAAAACATACAAGTCACAAAATACTCGTTTAAAATTCCCGTAGGGTACCGTGTTTCTTCAATTTGTTGCTGGCCACCCTGGCCAGTCGGGTCACTCGACGGGCCGATTCAGCCTTAGTTTGCTTGAGATTTGAATGTATAAATATGCACATGGTTTTCGACGTTCCTAAGAATACATCTCTCGCGTACAATTCGGGGCCTTTGCAATTTGCCGGTGAAACCAAACCTGGCTCGATGCAAGCAAAGAACCCCTTCCTCGAAGCCACCAAAGATCTCCCGGGCAAGGTTGTCATCCGTCGACGAATCGTGGTCATCGGCACCTCAGGACCGGGGTCAGACGTACTTACGCATATCCATGCAGTTTAGGGTTTAGGGTTTAGGGTTGAGTGTTTAGGGTTTAGAGTTCAGGGTTTAGGGTTTAAGGGTTTAGGGTTTAGGGTGCGGTTGCAGTATAAGTCAAACTCTGGGACCCAAGCTGTTGCTCAATGCCTCAGCATCATCTAAGGCACCTGCGAGGGAGACTGTGCTTTGCTAAGCTGTTCGGACACAAAAAACCCACTCAGTAGATACTGTGCAGGAAACAGCTGGCAAAGCTTCAATCTACTAGCTGCGCCTCGATAGCAATCATGTATGTGATCACTGGCAAAGCTCGGTTTTTTCATCATCGGCCGGCTTGCTGCTGAGCAGATCCCCAAGCCCCGGTGCACATGAATTGGCATGTTTTGCCACGTTGCACGATTGCACTGTGCATGATGGTTCACGACAGCAACCGATGCCTGTGGGCCCCTAAATGACTGCACGAGGTGTGTTGACAGCATAGGACAAGGCCTACGCGATGTTTTAAGGCCCCCTGAGTAACTTTCAGGCGTGTCGCTGTGAGGAAACCAGGTCGAAAATCAACCACGGGAACTAGCATCTTTGGCCGCCTACTTCTTACCGGCTTTCTTCGCCTTCTTCTCCTTTTTCTCCTTCGGAGCCTTCTTGTCCTTCTTGTCCTTCTTGTCCTTCTTGGGGTCCTTGCTTGCCACGGAGCTCGGACCCTTCTTGCCGGAGGACCCCGTCACCGACCTGGAACGCTGGCTTGGTGGCTGGCTGCAGATGCATCTTGAAACTTGGTCCCTGCGCAAGTGCGCCTATTGTGTCTTCTACAGCTAGGGGTTTAGGGCAGAGGGTTTAGCTTATAGGGTTGTTTTGGGTATCGAAGTCAGAAGAATACAGGCGCTTGGGGGTTAGGAGTTTAGGGATTACGGCTTAGGCGCGCTCAACCCAAGACCCTTTCGAACCCTAAACCACAAAAGGCCTGAAACCGGCAATATCCGAGACCCTAAACATATATAGCTGTCGCAAAACCCCAAACCCTAAATTAGTCCGTGCAAAACTACTAGGGCTTCTCGGGTTGAGTCGGGTTGTGCTTCATGGCCTGGGCATCACTTGCGTTTCAGGGCCCGAATCGGTGTGCCGTTGTTAGGGATTTACATAGGCCGAACTTGCGGTTGGGGGGCACAGCTTGGAGGCCTTACACAGGATTTGCAGAACTATATACGTACATCGTTTGGGATCAAGTGCTACTAGACTTTGCAAGGGGCTGGGGTCTGACTCACACCCGGAGACATAATTCATGCAAGTGTCTTGGAGCGAAGGAGGTAATTCCCCAAAATCACATCCTGCTTGGTAACCTCTGCATAGAGGCGGAGCAACTCGTCGTTGAAGGCCCTTGGTATATGACCATTAGCGGACAGCGTTGATTGACCGTGTGAATTACACCGCCGAAGACCCCAAACAGTCAAAGGCGCGTCAAAGAAACTGTGGAGACGACGGGAGACAAAGGGAGAGGAAGGGACACAAAGGGAGGCGAGGAGCGCACTAACCCGGAAAAAGCCACCCACACGAAGGGAGACAAAGGGAGACAAAGGGAGACAAAGGGAGACAAGGAGCCCAGGAACCCGGCAAAAGTCCTCATGTCGGCAATCCTGAAATGTATTTAGAACCCCAACAGTAGACTGCTTGGGGAACAATGCCTTTTCGTTTTGTTTTCTACTGAGACGAGTGGCTGGTCCGGGGCCTTTGTAATCGCGATGGTCTGCTTGGTGGTAAGCTCATCATAGAACTTGTGCATCTGCTGCAGAATCAAGGACATCTGCTGGTGGAGCCTAAGCATTGGGTTTAGGGTTTAGGGTTTCGGGTTTAGGGTTAGGGTTTAGGGTTGCGTACCACCGGTGACTATGCCCAGTAGACACAAACAGCAACCCATTGTGTCAGAGGCACGACTTGGCCCGGGAATGCGCCGACTTTTTGAGCAGATCCTAGCACATAAATCACAAAACAATTCCCTCAGGCCCTAGACATGAACAACATATTTTGTGTCAAGGCAAATGGGGGTCACAGGTCCAGGTGGTCTTCAAGGTTGTCGACCTTTCTGCCAAGAACTTCCAGGAAGTTGGCTAGCATGGATGCAGGAGACGTGTTCTGGGCAATCGTCGGAAATGAAATCCTCAGCTACATATGCAACAGGGGAGAAGAGATAGATGGTGGTAACAAGCAGCTACTTAGCTTGGCTAAGTATCTTGAACGACGCAGCTTTGCCAACATCCACGGCCGCGGCATCTGAGGCACTTGGCGCTGCATCGGCTGCACTGGCTCTCATGATGTCCTCGGCGGAGGCGTTGGCGGAGGGGGTGTCGTTCTCGAACAAGTAGCCGGCGTCATCCTGCACAAGGTTTTATAGGGTTTAGGTTTCTATAGGGTTCTAGGGTTCTATATAGGGTGTAGGGTTTAGGGTTTAGGAAACCGTAAACCCCAAACCCTAAACCCTAAAAACCCTAAACCCTAAACCCCAAAACCCTAAACCCTAAACCCTATATATGTATATATATATAAACCATAAACCCTAAACCATAAACCCTAAACCCTAAACCCTAAACCCTAAACAGGGTTTAGGGTTTATAGAGTTTTTTGGGTTTAGGGTTTAGGGGTTTGGGGTTTAGGGCTTGGCCCACACACACGTACACTAATCCTGACTGCATGTACAAATGGGGCTCTATTGAACGACACTGTCCTCAACCTCCAAAGTGCCAGCCATAGTTGTTTCCGATCCGGTCTCGTTTGACACTTCGAAGGTATCATTCAGCACGAGCCTAGCTTCCTCCTCCTTGTGAATCGGATTGGTTCTCAGGAAACCCTGGCTCTTTGCCCACTCCCAGGCAGCCGTGACCATTTGCCTCGATCATACAATGTATATAATGCACAATTTGCAAATATAATGCTGTAGTACACAGCATGCAAGTTCCTTGCATACCCATGGCACTTCGTCCAATTCTGCTGGGTCATGAGCTGGTGCTTTGTGTACCAACCCCCATTCTTGGAGACGTTCATCAAGGTCTTGTGCCACTTGCGAACCTGCACCTCCATCGCCTCAAACGTCCCGTGCTGCTTCAGCAGGTCACGTAGGCGCTCGCCTGGGTTTAGGGTTTAAGGTTTAGGGTTTTGAGTTTATAGGGTTTAGGGCTTATAGGTTTTGGGTTTGGGGTCTAGGGTTTTGGGTTCCGGCAGAAGCAGGTCATGCATGTTACACGGCCTGGGAATGATGCTATTCTACAGCCAGGTCACGACCGGCGTCCGTCTTGTAAAGCTCGAGGGACTCTTTGGAGCACTTGAGGGAGCCACAGGACTTTGGCGTAAAGTAGCGTCGAAGCCTGACCGTTTTGCGAGAGCACCTAGGACCTAGCTAGCCTTGCAACACAAATCACAGCACCCTTTCTCACAGATTCGAGGCACTTCCAATACGTGGGGCTTTGGGATCGCTTCTTCTTCTTGTTCGAGTCTCGGCTAGTACCGTCGGAGCTCGCCGATACCTAGGAAATGCGTAGAGTAGTCGCGAAGAAAAGTCTAGAATAGCCAGCAGTGCAGGACCCAACAAGATGCATCCAACACTATGTAACCAGGCCACAGATCCAGGAGGGCTTAAGTCTCGAGTCCGCTTGCGTGGAAGATCAACCCACCCTTTTTGGCTGCCGGAAGGAGACAGCGCTGCCCCGTTCAAGACATCTGCCATGGAGGCACGTGGGTCGGGATTGGGCTTCGGCATACTTCTCGTGGCTCGAGTTGGCGTGATCTTCACAGGGCTTGGGGTTTTCTGGGCAGCTGGGATCTCGTTGGGCTCAGAACTGTCCAGGCTGTCATGTGTTCCAAGCCTTTGGGTTGTGGCGTGAAGCAACGGGTCAGGCTGTGCATCTGAGCTGTACACTCGGAATTTTGCCCTGTCCATGTCGGCGAGCCCCAAAGGCTTCTTCCCAGCCACAGGAGCCGCACAGTCCTCGATAGCAGCAATAGCCGGAGCACCTGCCAGGGCTGGGTTGCGTATGGATCGGGTTTAAGTATATATATTTTCGGCTGGCAAGAAATACTAGTGATACGCAAAAAAAAGACACACAGAGGCACAATGCACACATGCACAACACAGACCCCACCCCTCCACACGCACAAACACACACACACACACACACAGACATTCAAACAAGCAAACCACACACCCACAAACATGGACACGGCACCGACACAGACACACATGATTACACACTGTTGCAAGCAAACGAGCACACACACACAGAGGAAGAAACCAGCACACGCACACACAAACACACAAACAAACGAAGAAAACACACACAAGCCAGCAAGCAAACAATAAAACAAACAAAGAAACAAACAAGAGACACACATGCACAGACACACAAAGGGCACACACACACACGTACATATACAAACAAACACAACAAACAAACAAACAAACACACACACACACACACACACACATGCACCCACACACACACACACACAAGCAGACAGAAGCACAAAGAACCACACACACACACACACTGTCT